TATTGGGAAAATCCATCAAAAAAGGCTATCTAGTTGCACATCAATCCTGAACCTAACTCCTCATTCTTTCATTTCTCTGATATTTTTACTTATTCACTTAATGACATAAAATTTTGGTTTCAAATTGCATTTACAAGCAGGTTTAATTATGCTAATTACCACTGTACTAATTGTCTGTATACTTAAATGCTTTATGTGTGTCAAATCTCTGTAATCGATACAACATATCATGTAATTTGAAAGAACATCATGTCCAGAAGAGTTAAACCTCACACTTTAGCTAGAAACCCTTTTACCTTGTCAAGTTGTTCCTTCAAATTTGGCCTTCCTTTAGTCATTCCCTCTCTCTAAAATCACAGAAGCAGAGGCTCAAGCTATGGCATGAAGAAGATAAAACTGATGGTGCCAGGCTACCCCTTTAAGGATAATAGACAGCCATCCAATGAACCCAAGGAAAGTAAGTCCTTGCAGAAGGCACTCTTAAAATAGTGACCAGGAAATTTCTGTGGAAATTCTTGTTCAAAAGGCAGGAATGACAACATTCTAAAATTCAAGGCTTTGGCTTCACTGAGGCTTCTGACTGAAATGTAGGCTTGATACTATTTTGACATCTTGACTATTTCTCAGAAATTACCTCTACTTTGCAGTTCTCAGAAGGGTTAAATAAGTTGAAGGCTGCTAACAGGTCAGATGGCAGTAATGATGATGGCTTACACAGGTGTTAAACCTGTGACTTTAGTGGTGAAGCTGATTCTCAGAAGATACTCCTTGACCCTCCTGGAAAAATTTTTCTAACCAATCCTATATATGTCAACCCATCAAAAATATTTTAGCTATACATCTTTATTTCTATTCATAAGGTTTTCTAGGGACCATTACCTGGAGAAGGGTATCATCCTTGGTAAACTGGAGGGTCAGTGGAAAAGGGGAAGGCCTTCAACATGATGGATTGACACAGTGGCTGCCAGGATTGGCTCAGGTATAGCAAGGATTGTGAGGCTGCCGCAGGACCAGTGTTTTGTTCTGTTGTATGTAGGGTCGCTGTGAGTCGGAGCCAATTGCAGGGCA